ATTTATTTGTGAATGATATGAGCTAGAGATCTAATTTTATTTTTGAACAAACAGCCAGTTCACTTATCTATTGTGTTCTTTTCTTATTGATTTGATCTTTTCTTTTATATATTTCATACACTAAAGTTATATGTGTGTGTGTACCATGGTTTAGATGAAAAATGTCCTCCAAAGTCCTCATGTACTTATAGGTAAGGCTTTGGGAAAGTGATTGAATCATTGCTGTAGCTTATTTGCTATTAGGAGGTGGGCTCTGAGAGGTACTGACAGTGTGATGTGAGGGTGTAGCTCCCGGCTGCGTCCTGGCCGCCATGACTTGAGTAGCTTTCCTCTGCCCAGGCTCTTCCGCCATGTTGTTTTCTGTAGTGAATCCATTGGGCCATGAGTTATAAACTTGACTTCTCCTCTTCAAGTTATGGATTTTGCATATTTAGTCTCAGTGATAAGTAAAATAAGTAAGACAACTTCCAAAATCTCTATTCTGTCCCATTGTTACTTTTATGACTGAGAACTCGTTTCCATTACTAAAACATCAGATAAATATAATAAAGTTTGTATATGTACAAGAATATTTCAGTTAATTTAATAATTATATGTTATAAAGATACAATTTTATTAACTAGTTATAAATTTAATATATAGTATATAATAGAAGTAACAGATATCTGGTAGATGTTATGCTGCTTTGTTGGTTTTGTTTGATTTTCTGGTTTTCTTTTATTTGTTATTTAGTTTTTAGTTTTAGTATGTTGTTATTTCATTTAGTTACTATTACTGTGTTTGATGCAATATTTTTCTTGGCTACTATCAATCATTGTCTTTTACAGGAATTTTTGAATCACTTTGTCAAGGTCCTAGTTGAGGCACTGTTTAGAATAACATTCAGTTTGTGGATTATTTTGAAAAAAAAATGTCATTTTTTATAACTTTGACTGCCTCTATCCAGGAATATAGTGTGTTTCTGCTTCTGAACTTCTTTTATGTTCTTTAGTATTTGTCTACCTTTTTGATGTCCCCCAAACCACATATTATCACATTTTTTTTCTATTTTATTAACATCTGCTTCTTCTCTATTGTCAACTCACTTTTTATTTATTAAATTATTATTTTTCTAGCTTCTAGCACTGAGAGTTTAGTTCATTTTTTTTTCCATGCTGTACTAGTATATAAATTTTCCCAGTAGCCATTTTGGTCATAGCCCATAGGTTTGATGGTATTATGGGTATCATTCCTTGCTGAAGAAATTTTATTTTTTATTTTGATTTTTTTCCCTTTTTTGTCACTCCCCTCCCCTCCTTTCCTCTCCCTTTCCTTCTCTTTTCTCCCCATCCTTCCTCTCTTTCTTTTTTTCCTTTGCTCTTTTGTGGTTCTGGGACTGAACCTAAGCCTTTACACTGAGCCACAGCCCCCAGACCTTAGTTTTTGTTATTGTGTTTTGTTTTGAGACAAGGTCTTACTACTACATCAGTAAATTGCCCAGATTGTGTTCAAATTTTCAGTCCTCCTGTATCAACATCCCAGAGTGCATGCACCAGAGTACATCTCCACACCGGGGTCCTCTTGGTTTCTTCATCCGATGGGTTATCTAGGGCACTGGCTTTGAATATTCAAATTTATTTTGGCTAACTTTTAAAATTTTTCTAAAATCTGGTTGCCTTTACTTTTGTGTTGTGCCTACATTGTTTCTGCTTTCTTTGAGATTTTAGACCCTTTTCTGCCAAATTCATAGTTTGCAATACTGTCCATGTATGTTTGAATATAATTTCTAGTCTTTGTTTTCTGTACACCTATTACATCAAATTTACTAATCCTGTTCTGTGACTATTCTAGATGCTTCCTTTTGGTCTTCTGATTTAGAAGTTCAAAAGGAAAAGCTAAAGTTTTCTACTGTAATTGTGATTTTATACTCTTCTTGGATACAGTAGACTGAATCTTCCTTCTATAAAATATTTTGTCTTTGGCCTACTTTTATTTCTTGAATTTATGTTCTGTTTTTTCAGATGCTGTTGGTACTTTATTTGCTTTCTTTCTATTAGTATTTGCCTGGGACTTCATGCAAGTTGTTTTATTTTCAGCTGCTGTTTATTTAGGTGTTTTCATACCAGAATATACTTAGAATGATTTAATTACATATTCCATATCTTACAATGAAGCTATTTCATATATGTGGGTGATATAGAGCGACTTTCAGTCTTAATTTATATATTTTATTTATTGTGTTTATGTTTGAAAAACATCTCCTTTATCTTGCATCCCCAGAGCCAGCCAGAGGACTTGGCTGAAGATACTAGGTCCTGATCAAAAGCTCATTGAATAAAACTTCCTTAGTCCCCTACTTCTGGCCTAATCTGAGAAAAACTTATGGCAGGATCATTATATTGTAATGGGGTTGGAACAAGTGTTTGAATTATTGGTAAAAGAGTGTTCGAAAAAGATTTGAGTGCATTATTCTGTCGAAGGTGTTCTGCCTATTTGTGTAAATTTAACGTATAAAGATTTTACATTTTCTTCTGTCAGAGATCCAGTATTAGTTCATGCTGATAATGATAGTGCAGGTAGAGATGAAGAGAAAGGTCTTAGAACAGGAGAAAGAAGTTCAAGATCTCATCTCTCTCAGCCCAGCCCTTTATTACAGTGCACAGAGAAGGAATTTCTCAGCTGAAATGAGTTACACTGTTTTTGTACAAACTCAAGTCTCAGATTTCTTGGTTTTCAGCTTCATCTACCAGAGGGTTAGGTAATTTTAAAAATAATAATATGGGTAACATTGACTTTATTGCAAAGTGCTCTTCCAGCAAAGCCATGCTAAGCAGTAAAGACAAACATTATATTAAAATGAAATCAGGATGGCTTACAACTCATCAGATCTATTTTTCTTGACTTAATTAACAAAAGCATTGAAGAAAGAGAAGGAATGAATGTTTTTTTTTTTTTTAATTTTATTTATTTATTTGTGTGTGTGTGTGGCCAGCTCAGCCCACCAGGGGGCGGGCTGGCTGGCATGTGGTGCTGGGGGATTGAACCGCGGTCCCTGGGCTTTGCTAAGTTTGTTTTAAGTAGGTGCTTTAGACCACTGAGCCATCTCACCAGCCCCATGAATGTTTGTTATAATGGGGAGAATACTGGACTAGAATCAAGGGCCTCCTCTACTTGGCCATGCTCATGAACATCTCTGGAAATTTCTTTCAATACAAAAGGCTGGATTAATTTATCTCTCAGATTTCTTCTGAAGTCTGAGTCAGAAAAATCTGTGTGAAATTCCAGCAACTGTTAACCAAATCTGCACAGTGTAAATTTTTCCCTGAACTACTCACAACTCATAACAGGTTTATCTTTTCCAGTTACTAACTACAGGTTAGGTATCCTTGACACCAAAGCCTTTTAGATTTAGGATTTCTTTTGAGATGTTAGAAATCTATATATACTGAGCTATTTCTTGTAGATGTGGCCTAATTGTAGACACAAAATTCATTTGTTTCATATGAAACTTATACACGTAGCATGGAGATAATTTTTATGGAACATACTGTGTAATTTTTTGCATAGGACACTTCATAAGTGGTATTATATTGAGTAAAAAAAAAAACTCTTCCATTTGAATCATTTTGTATTTCAGATTTTGAATTAGGGATGCTCAGCTATATAAATTCAGATTCATTCAGATTCCATCGTTTTGAGTATTGTGTTAAAAAGTATTGATGTGTACATTGTTAAGCATTGCCCATTAGCCAGGTAATGAGCTGAGAATAAAAACCTCTCTGTAGTTTTTCTTCCTCATTGAGGGCAGGGGCTACCCCAGGGCACACCCAGGGCAAAGCTAAATGCAGCCTGGTGGAGGTGGACAGGATGGTTCCACCTATTGTACTGATCCCAGGACATTTTCTTAACTCCTCTCTCTCCTGAAAGGACATTGGTTTGCATTTAGGTGATGAACTGGAGAAAGCACAGGGGTGCCCTCTTCAGTGCCTGAATTTTATTTGGAAACTTAGAAGTTTGGTCAAAGGTTGGAGGCTCATCAAAGATGAGGACACATAAACCCTCCTCCTAGCTGGTAAAGGCCATCATCAAGGTTGACTTAGAAAATGATGTGGCTCAGCTGAGCAGGCAGAGTTCCTCTCTATATAAAGCCTATCTGTCATCCTCATGGTTTCCCAGCTTTGTACAAAACTAGTTTTGATTCCAATACCCATCCCCATGATCTCTTTGGAGAATTCTAATATTTTGAATGGTGGTCTTAACATTATTCTTTTTTGGGCTGTAGACTAGGGGTTTCATAAGCCATTTGAAGATCAAGGGCAAGCAGGAATAGGGGAGCATGGGAAGGATTCGGGCTCTAACACACACATACATACCAACACTTCTTGGCTTACCTCGAGGTTGTGTCTCAATAAACCCATCATAAGTTGAAAAAACTGTAAATTAGGAATACTTTTTATGCACCTAACCTACCCACGTCCCACTTAGCAAGACAGTGCCCTAGAGTGTTGATGGTTTCCACCCATGAACGTGACTGAGCCTGTGGCTCTTGCCACTGCCTAGCCTTGTGGAGAGAACTATCCTGCATACCATTAGCCCAAGAAAGCATCCAAAGTCAGAAACTGGAGTATGGCTTTTACTGTGTGTCACTTTTACACCACTATAAAGTCAAAAACTTCTGTGTCAAGGCATCGTAAGTCAGAGATCATCTGTATACTCAAGTAATATACTTGACAACAACCTTGGAAGAAATCAATGTATTCTACACTGAGGTTAACTCCTACTGGCTGGCAGGACTATAATTTCTTTATAGCTCCTTGTCAAAATGTTCAAAGTTAAACAGGAAAGAAACTGTGAAATGAGATGTCATTTTAAGGCATGAAGCAGACTACCTGAGTTCTGCTAAGAAGTACACTGTTTCATCCCATGAGGACAGTGTCTCTAGGCAGGCTAACTCCTTGGGTGCCACACACATCGTGGCAGGCCTCCAACTGGCCTTTCTAACCAAATGTCTTTTCCCTCAGAATGGCTGCAGTCTGTCCAGGCCACCATGATCCTGTCCGTCATTTTCAGCGTCCTCTCTCTGTTCCTGTTCTTCTGCCAGCTTTTCACCCTCACCAAGGGAGGCCGCTTTTACATCACTGGAATCTTCCAAATCCTTGCTGGTAAGTTTTGGGTAGTGAAGTCCATGGGGATTTGGGGTTGTCCAGCCAGGGATGTAACCCCAGAATGACAGATGCTTGCCAATCTGGTATATGCTTTTCATAAAGTACACATCTGTGTGTATGTGCATTTGTGTATATACATATGTGTACATGTATACATATATCTCTGAACTTGGAGCTGTCCATGGAGTGAGATGAATTTGAAAGAGGACAGGGAGGCTGTGGCAGGAATATGATCAACCAGGCCAGACTTGACACCAGGAATGAAGCTATACATCATCTGAGATGAATACTGAGGATATCAGTCTGGCCAAGACCAATCTTGAGGATCGTGTTCCGTTGTTACATTGTGCCCTAAGAAATCATCCCCACTTCGAGATCAATACTGGTGTGCTGAGAGCTGTTGTTGTCAGGTGTGTCTTCAACCTGTGAGCAGTCATACAGTCACAATGATAATTTCTTATCCTCTTTCCCCCTGTTCTTAGAGTCCATTGGTCTTACACTTACTGTTAACATACCCTGGTATCTTCATGTTGATATTCTTATGCAACATGCCACCACTGCTAAATACGGGACTATGACAACACACAAAAACACAGGAGAGGTCTCCTTCATCTCTTCCCTGCGCCGCATTCAAGAGATTGTTCATAGTCACAGTGTGCAGAATCCTAGAAACTTCTATTACAGAGAGGCTATTTACTAATTAATTTCTAGAGTCTTGTCTTGCTTCATTGACTCTTATTTTGCCACTAGGTGGCTTTCTGCTAATTTACTGAATTTTCAGGGTCACAGAGGAAATTAGAGGCAGAGAAAGCTATTAGTTCAATAGCTCAGGTTCATAGGTCATAAACTCCATCTGTACCAAATTATGCCTAGGTACCATGAGATGTTCTCTTTCACTCCTGACCCTCTGCATAGCAAAGGATAGAGTAGCTCATGCTTTATTTTATTTAAATGTATTTGGTACAGGGTCTCACTATGCAGCTTGGACTCATAGTGATCCTCCTGTCATTAGCCTCCCCAGTGCTGGGATTACAGGTATGTGCCACCATGCCAGGTCATAGAGGCCCGCTCGGTGTGCCCGGGGTGGGGCTGGTGTGGCATGTGGTGCCAGGGATCAAACCCCTGTCCCTGTGCTTGCCTAAGCAGGTGCTTAGTTTGTTGAGCTATCTTGCCAGCCCAAGCATCTCATGTTTTAATTGGTGGTCAGATCACCCGTAGTGTATGCAGTATCACCACCTGCTATGCTCAGGAGCAGTCATTGGAGGTTTGGAAATGTGTCCTTGGGGTTCGAATAGGCTAATGATGCAAGTACATGCACGTACAGAAAGGCACAGCCTGAGGTGAATGGTGATGACCTCTTCTGTAAGCCAGAGCATTCTCCTTTCCTAGAAAAAAGAGATAAATTAAACAGCCCCTTTTCACCAAATATGAATACAACATTCTGATACTTCTTTTAGTGCAAGAAGAAGACCTAAATCACTGTGGAAAAGACTTTTTGTAATAGGTAGGATCTTTTCCTCCATTCTTTCTACTGAGATAGTTCTGCTTTAAGTTCTTTTCACAGTATCTTTTTAGCACAATATCTTCAACATTCACCATAGATCAAAACTCAGAAGTTCAGAGATAGGAACTGCTAGGCATGCACATAATGGTGCTATGTGCTAAAGAACTGTATTTCAATTTGGCCAGGAGGTCTTGGGCTTGGGGATGTTCTACTTCCCAAGTGCATTTACTAATAATCCCTATTTGCCTCATCAATTTGATTTTCTTTTGAACTCACTGTAAGCATTTTATATTCTTTCAGAAATCTCTCTGAATTTAAAAATGCATTACATGTTTTCCCTTATCCCTGTTGAATCTAGCTGCTTATCTCTCATGAGACCTCATTTTCAGTTAACAATTTGTCAGTTGAATGGCTCATCTTAAATAGGAAGTTATCTGGATTAAGAAGTGTTGAACTAAGACAGCAGTTGTAATCTCCACATCCTCAGGATTTTCTGTGTTTATTGATGTGCTGCAGCCAACTGATCTGAAGCTTGGCCTCCTAGGAAGCAAGGATCTCCCAAACGTTCATTGGAAATTGTTTTAGTCTTCCCACTAAAGCTGTGAACTAAGAGTCAGGGACTCTATTTGGACATTTCTGGACTTTGTCAGCCTGTAGCAGTTTTGAGTCAGCCTAGTCTCATTTCTCCCCAGTTTATAGCCTATTGATAAGGTAGTGACAAAAATAGGTTAGGAATGTGAGAGAGGGATGGAGAAAATACAGAGAAGAGAAGAAAAGAGGGAGGGATAATGAGGGCAGAAGAGGCAGCAAAAAGTAGCTTGTGATTGTGGGGTGCAAAGTCTGAGTGCACCTTCCATGGCACCTAGAGTCCATGCGAGGCAAATCTTTCTCAAAGCAATGAAGCATCTTAAGTGGAAGCTTCTAGAATCCCTGTAGGGTTTCCAAAGATGTTGTTTCAGAGTAGTCTATCTGCACAGCATCCCTTTATAATACCAGCTGTGGCCTGTATGGTTCAATCATATGCACCAGGTTATAGGAGAGGCAGTAAAGAAGTAAAGCAGTAAAGAGTGGGGCTCTTGGGATAGTGTAGTTGTCTCTGCCTTCCTTAGGATTACAGTTCTTTGTGTCATTAGAACGCTCACTGTTTGGCCTCATTATTGCTTCTCCAGGTCATACTAAGCCATGGGTCTCACAGGTACTGTCTTGCTCTTATACATGTCCTAGGCCAGCTGCTTCCAGAGGCATATTAAAGGTACCTCCTTCTAGGTTAGTGCTTTTCAGCCTTAGGTGTACTTTAGAACCAGCTGGAGTGCTATTTAAAAATTATGCCAGTACTCAGGCCTCATCCCTGCAGAGTCCCATTTCATTGCTCTGGGGCAGGGCTACTTACTGGGTGACTCTGATGTGCATCCAGACTTGGGAACTCTTCATGGAGCCATTAGACTGTCCCCTGTCACTTTGTGAGGTCTTCTAATGCATTTCCTCATAGACAGCTAGTTCCATTCGTAGAGTCTTCTTAGTCTCTCTATCAGAGGAGTAACACCTTGATCACATTCCTAGATGTTGCAGTCACTTTCATTTTTCAGAACTGTAGCCATCTGTTCTGGGACAGTAGTTATCCATGTCTTTGCTCTGTTGGTTGAGTTATACTACACGGGAAATCTTCAAGAAATCTACGGATCTAGATAGAAAATTTTGCATGCTGTTTTTATTTGACTACTTATACCTAGAAAATAGCTCCATACAGGCACATAGTAAGATTCCCTGAGTAACTGTTTATTGGATGATTAGATAATTATGTTGCCATGGTGAAATCCAGCCCAGGTTAAAGGTATAGTCACTATGATTAAGAAGAATAAAAAGATAGTAGAAAGAGATGCTGGAGTCAGTGTAACCTTTTCCATTAGTTTTGTTTCTTTGTTTTTAGATAGATTGGTACAGACATAGGACATTTAAACAAAAGAATTTGGGTAGAGGTTAATGGAAGCACCATGAGTCATGTTCTGTTCCAGGTAATTTTGAGTTGGCATGAGGCAAATACCATGTTTAGAAGCCCTGCCCAGGAGAGAATTCCCCTGGCTGTGCCCAGATGGGAATCCAGTAGTGCTGCAGGTGGCCCTCTAGGCAGAGGTGGTCAGCTGGATGCTGGAAAAGGACATAGGGTCAGAGCACAGAGGGAGGTCCATGTAGGTGAGAGGTGAGAGGTAAGAGGTGAGAGGTAGGCCCACAGCCCCATCCTGTCAAGGTAACAAGTGTTCCATCCTTGCCCTGGCTCACTTTGTGCCCTGGCCTAGAGAGTGAGACAAGAGTGAAGCAGAAGCACCCAGCATACCACCGCAGGACTGTGTCTCTCATCCACCACCCATTCTGGTAGTCTTGCCAGATCTTCTTTTTCTAGCGAACTTCATCCTGGCTTCCACCCTTGCTTCTCCAATGGACGTGCAGAGTCCTCAAGGACACTGAAGTCTTTAATTAGCTAGATCATGGCTCTCTTTCCATGCTGTTGACTGTTACTTCCTTGAAACTATATGTCATGGGCTTTCTGTGTCCCCTGCTACCTATGCTCCCCATATGGCAGATCCTTCCTATCCCAGGCCCACTCAGTGTTTCTCTGTCCCTTGCCCTAGGTCCAGTCTACCACTGAGTGGACTCCTTTTCTCTTTACTCTCTGACGTAAGTGGAACAGTACAAAGGCCTCCTCAGGCCCCTTCCTGCCTCCTGTCTTGAACCTGATACTAAATCCTTTTCTGGCCTGCTGCTGTGATCTTTCTGAAGCATGCATGTGATCATATTTCTCCCATGCTGAAGCACACTGCCCCAGACTTCCAGAGACAGCCTCCTTAATGTGCCTTCAGGCCACCCTTCTTCATGCATCCCAGTGAGCTTGGTAGCCTCCCTATCATGAGAGACTTATCTGCAGGTTGTTTCCATCATGTGTTCTCAAACTCTTAGCTTCACTTTCATTCTTTTACCTGGGATGCCTCCTGCTACCTAGCCACCACTTATCCTTCCAGCTCAAATATCATCTCCCCCAGGCTTGTATCCCTACCCTCCATGTGGAGTCAGCCAGCACCCATCTGAGTTCTTAAGGTATCTGAGACATTTCTCTCTTGAAATTATATCACATGGTATCAAAACAAGCTATGGATATTTCTTTTGCACAGCACCTTTTGAAAGCAAGGCCATTGTTTTGTTTGTCATGGTGCTCTTAGTATCTAGAACAATGCCTGCATGCAGCAGGCACTTGTTCCATGGTTAGTAAACCCAAGGCAATGGAAAGGTTGTGGAAGTGTGGAGAGCTCTGTGAGTTGCTTCCTCTGGCTCTGGCACACAGTGGCCCCTTGCAAAAGTTCTGGGCGCCAGTCACTTTCCTGAGGTTGCTGTCACTGTTAAAGAGCCTTGAAACCTTTCTCTTTCAAAAGGCTTTAGGGAGAAAATTTAGGGGGTTGTTGCAGCCATCCTGAGACAAACAGAAATCTGAAACCCCAGGACCTTGTGTGCATGGATTCATTGTCCTTCCACTTAAAGCTGATGTGCATTTCCAGAATAAAAACAATCCCAGTCACTACCAAAGTATGCACTGCTAATCAGTTGGGATAGCAGAACACCTGGCTCTGTGAGGGACCTCACTGACTGATAGGGACCTTAGTGACACATCTCCATCTACTGGTTACTGAGAAAATTGATCACGTTCACTTTTTAGGAAGAATATTTGGCTTTTGGGGTTACTGTTATGTGACATTTATGCCTTGGAATTCAGACAGAGGGTTACTTGGTCCAAGAATCATTTCTTTCTGTATTTCAGAGCCTGTCTGCTATTTAATGTGCAGGCAGCCTAGTAATGATGTATTTAGCAAAACGTCAGCCTCCTAACAACAATAAGGTATATCTCTTCACTTGGGTTTATAAGTAGCTATGCTTACTGCTTTTGAAGTTAATCTTAGCTTCATTAATTTCTGAGGTTCCATTAGGGTCTATTAGTCACCTAGTCAGTCACTGTGCTTGTGTATTCTGCCTCTTCCTGTCCCTTTTGATCACAGATGGAACCTGCTGTTTTCTTTTTGCCAGAGAAATGAGAGCATAGCTGATCCACATGGTCACCAAGGCAAATTTTCCTACCAGCAGCCTCTTAGATGCCCCATGCAGAAGTCCTGCTCATACAAACACTGTGCTGGCCTCTTTGCCCTCTGTTAACACATTGCTCTCTTCTATGAACATGTTTCCCTCCTTAGATCCCTACCCTTATTAGATGAGCCATATAGAGCACCAGACAATTTCAACATTGCTTAAAAGACAAGAACAAGCACTTCAGAGAGGCACATTAGGGAGCAGTAGGGGATCCTGGACCTCAAGGCAAATTCAATGTGTTCTGGCAGATCAAACTGTTCCAGTCTTTGAGCAGAAATCCTTAGCTATGGCTGCCCTCTGACATAGATGTCTTTGTCTCCTGAACTTTCTGTAGGTAGGAACAGGTCCTGGGTTCCATCCCACAGTGGTTCCAGGACTATTGTGTGGTGTTCTTGATGGGGGCCAACTGAGTGGGTATTTTTCTCCTTTGAGTTACAGAAGGACAATCTCACCAGGGTGGTTAGTGTGAAATAGTCCCACTTCTGCACTTTGTTTAAACAAAGTTGCAGTGTCCACCAAGTTAGCAGCTCAAATAGCAGTGAGGTTAGATGTAGGTGGTTCAGGGCATTGGGAGCTTTGGAACCACATGAATCCCACACGGCATGCTGGGTTATAATAGAGTCACTCAGGGCTTCTCAAAGACCCTGTTTTCAGGAGGGAACAGACCAGGCTTTGTGCAACTCCAGGCTTTGCTGCTGACATCATGGAACCACTCCCTGCAGAAGGACACTGATTGTCACAAGGGCATAGGCTGTCAGGCTTGAATTGAGTGCTGCACAGGGCCCAAGGTGGAAGCTCTTTCTCTGCCCACACCAAAGGCTACCTTGCTGGACCAGGGGGGATGGCTGGCCTGACTTATGTGGGTATTAGATGTCCTTTTTCCCTGTCTCTGGGCTTCAAATCCAGTCCTAGCAGGGATGGGGCTAGTCCGTGATGGTCTCCTTTGCTGCTTTGCTTCCAGCCTGTATTGTCTTATTCTTCCTCATTTCCTTGTTGCCCTCTTTTCTCCTCTGTGTCATCCCTTGTCTGCCCAGCAATGTCCATAGTTATTGCCTGCTGTCATGGGGAAGCCCTGCTAAAGGAATCCCGGGCATCTTTAGTGTGCAGGCGCTCTGGACTTCTGTGCTGTGACTCCAGTAATATGCAGTGTTGCTTCACTTCTGTGCTTTCAGGTCATGTGTTGCCCCCACTGTAGAGAGTGGTTCACTGGTTCCCAGGAGCTTCCACACCCAGCCCTGTTGTGAAACAAATAGACAGATTTATCTTGCACCTGAGATACCAACTGGTCACCATATGTGGCCTGCAAATTATTGACAGTGGAAAAACACAAGAGAAATAGGGCAGAAAATGTGTTGAGGACCTCAGAGATCACCGATTGAGGGATGTAGACATAGAGAGCAACTCATTTGCCTTGTTCCCATATCAACCACCCGCCTCCTCCATATCTGGTCCAGTGAGCAGATTGCTTCCAGACTTAAACATATCCTTCCTGGACAGCACTGTGAGCATCCAGGGTGGCAGAAAAGGGTGGCCTCACTGTGAACCCTCCCTGACCAACTCCCCCCTCTCTTCCCCAGGTCTATGCGTGATGAGCGCAGCAGCCATCTACACGGTGCGGCACCCTGAGTGGCATTCCAACTCCGACTACTCCTACGGCTTCGCCTACATCTTGGCCTGGGTGGCCTTCCCCCTGGCCCTTCTCAGTGGTGTTATCTATGTGATCTTGCGGAAACGTGAATGAGGTGCCCTGACTGTCTGTCTGAGGCTCTGAGCGTATACAGGGGAGGGAGGAAGGAAACAAGAAAACAAGAAAAACAAAAGCCAACAAAAAGAGCTAGCCAAATGCCCAAACTCCAGCCAAGCCAAACAGAAAGCAGTTGAGGGGGGGTTGCTGTTGATTGAAGATGTATATAATATCTATGGTTTATAAACCTATTTATAACACTTTTTACATATATGTACATAGTATCGTTTGCTTTTTATGTTGACCGTCAGCCTCGTGTTGAACCTTAAAGAAGTAGCTAAGGAACTTTACATCCTAACAGTATAATCAAGCTCAGTGTTTTTGTTTAGTTTCTTGGTCTTTAGTTTTTCTCCAAAATAAAATAACTTGATATACAGCCCCTTCCCCTTCATTTGAAATCAGATACCTCCCTCCCAATCCACTTCATAGAAAACCAAAGTGTGGGGATAAACCCCTAGTGGCTAAAAGCCCTTAGACTGTGGGCGACTCAGTGTGTCCACCAGAAGCATCCACTGCCTGAACCTCTGTGTGAAGCTTAGGCAAGCACAGCTAAAATGCCCAGACTGGAGCCCTCAGCAAAAACATGGTTGTGGCTTTGGAAAACTTGCCCTTGCAGGTAGAGGATCTCGGTCACTTGTCTAAATGAAAAATCAGTGACAGCAAATCTGTGAAATGGTGCTATGGATTTACCATTCCTTATATTATCACTAATCATCTAAATGACTCACTGGAAATTCAATTAACAATTTTATGCCATAAAGTAGAATGGAGACCTAGATAATTTTTGTGTAATATAAATGGTTAATAACCGCTTTTGTACCTAGCTAGGCTGCTGTTCTTACAATAATGAATAAATCTTAAAGTCTTTATCACACCCACATTTTTGTTATGGTCAGAGCATCAGGACAAGTGTCTAGACCCTTGGGACTGTAAGTTCCCAGGGCTTAGGTAGGTCTAGAATGTTCTGTGCCTCCAAGGACTGTCTGGCAATGACTTGTAATTGGCCACCAACTGCAGATGTATATATGGTGCCCTTTTGATGCTAAGACTCCAGACCTTCATTTTTTTTGCTTCGCTTTTTCTGATTTTATACCAACTGTGTGGACTAAGATGCATTAAAATAAACATCAGAGTAACTCACTGATCTCGCTTTGATTTTTGTGGGACATGGGCGTGGGTACAATATACTTGACAGAGTCAGTTGAAGTGCAATGAAAAGCAAAGGATTGCAGTAGGTGTTAAGTGTTCAATCATACCTATCTTACAGGTTAAAGGCAGCATATGATACCTTTAGATGTCTATACATGTGTCTGTTAACTGGAGACAGCTAGGAATTGTAGCTGGAGTGGAGGCTTTGAATGGACTGGAAGGAGCTTGAGCTCCACCTTCTTTCTTGTGGTATGCTCCCTGATGGCCTTAGTGGGCTTGTGAAAGCATGGTGTGAGCTGCTTCATCTACAGAAAGTGTTGCCATGAACAGCACAGATCCCCAACATTGCAGTATGTGAAAGTTCTGAATGATGGTAATATTGGGTCAGATAAAACAAAAGCTCAGCTCAGGCTAAGCTGCCCACATGCCCCCTCAGAAAGAGAAAAGATCAACCTCATGTTATCTAGCTTTAGGTTCCTGGACTGTCTGAGTCATAATTTTTACTCAACTTCATATTGTGCATGTGCAACAAGTGTAGGTAATGATGCTCTTAGCATTCTGTAATAGTTATCCAGCCCCTGTTTGGAAAATTCAAAGTAGGCATGAAAAGTTGAGAAAGAGTGACATCATTTTGTAAGGACAGAAGAGTCAAATTTGAGGGAGCACAGAGGAAGAAGAAGGTATTGCCATGAGAGTTTTCAGTATCCGACTGCACATTGCAGTCTCTCATTTGGATTTCATGTGACCATGACTGTGATGACAGAGTAATCAGGGATGTAACCTCCTAGCTCATCCATGGCCTCTCTTAGATGTTAATGTGCTCCTGGTTGCCTGGGAGCCTTGGAAAATGCAGATTCTGACTCTGGTAAGTTTGAGGGAGTCCTGGGATTATGCACTTCCAGTTAGTGCTCTAGAGGTGCTGGCTGAGCTGCTCCAGGAACCATGCTTTCAGCAGCTAGAGCCCCAGTGAAAGCACCTCCGGGCACTTAACGCTCTCCTGCTGGAAGTTCAACGACACAAGACTCTGTCAAATCCGAAGCTTTCAGCAGTGAGCCCCGAAGTGCTTTTGATTCAGAAAAGTTAGCTAGAGTGGCCATGAGAAGCCTGTGAATCTTACTGAGAAAACTAGGAATTTCACCCCACATGCTTGTACTTTGGAAATACGCAGTTGTACTCCATGAATACTTGTGACAGTTTACTTTAATACACATAATAAAAAGAAGAAAAAAGTGGACTCCAAATCTCTCAGGTAACCCTGCTGATATATACATACATACATACATACATATATACATACATATATACCTATATGTATGTATATATGTTTATATATTTGTATTTGGGATTATAGCACTCTAACCATACTCAAATGACTCAGTCAAGCTTTAGAGTCTTTTGCCAAGTATAATCAGAAGGCATAGTTTCTTGTCTCTTCTAAGAAAAAAGGCAACGCCCAACACATACCCATTTTGAAACATTGTGCAGTGGTCAGATTGCTCACCCTGTTCTGCATCTTGTTTTCTGATAAAAGCTTGGGGTCATTCCTTTTTTAGTGTATGCCTTATTCTTTTAAATGAGGTCTGTTTCATTCCTTCAAAGTTTGGCATAGTATTTTCTTTTTAAATTTTATTTATTTATTTTGTTTTTGGTGCCTGAGGACTGAACCCAGGGCTTCTAGTTTGCTGGCCAAGCATTGGAACACTGAGCTAAATCTTCTGCCCATCTTTTATTTTTAATTTTAAAGAGAGAAAAAGTAAAAATGATGCAGAATATCAAAATAGAATAACAGGACATTAACCATGATTATTATATTGTTATCTTCAAAGTGGTTGACACACAGATAAAATATTATTGGTGCAGCTTTAAAACCTTTCTTTACCATAGCCAGTTTGATTGTGTCCTGGGTTTAATTTTTACCCAGAATATTTCAGTGGACATTGTTAGCCATGAATATCTGTGAATTCTTCAATCACATCCAAGTGTTAAATTCCTGGCAAGGATGTTGTCAAGGCAAAAAAGATGCATATATATAGGAATTAAATTTATTTTTAATTTTCTTGCTTTAGGTCTTTAGTTTTTAATTTTACTTGCACATCTTTGCAGTTTATGTGGTTTACAGCCATCTTGGGGAATGGTCACATGTCCATATTACTGCACATTTCTTTCTTTTTAATCCTCTTCTCTCTATGTCCAGTTCCCCAGCCCACTTGTCATTCTTCTTAATATTATTTGTCTTTGCTCACATTACAGTATATAATATTTATATTAATTGAGGTTATTAGGCCCCTGACACATCTGTATTCTTATTTCCCCTTCCCCTTTTCCTTACCCCTCATCAATGTTCCCTTGAACCACGTGTCTATTGCAAGAGATCCGTCCCCCTGTCCCTTTCTATCCATCCTTTGTCATTTTCTTTGTACTTTGACCCACTCAAATGAGGGACACAATACAGTATTAAAGCTTGTGGTCTGGTTTATTTCACTCAACAATGTTTTCCAGGCACATTCAGTTTTGTATAGGAATTTGTATTTCCCAGGCAGTCCTTAGAAAAATTGCATTAATTCTACAGTTGAGCTTTACTCTGTGTGTGTGTGTGTGTGTATGTGTCCCTGGGCCATCATGTATGGTATGCAAGCATTGTATCACTGAACCACATCCCCAACCATACTGAGCCTTACCATCTCCATGTGACATGTGGCTCCAGAAAGAACAGAGGAGCTTTAAAGTAAAAACATTGAAAGACAAACCATGCATCTGAGTTCTCTCCAGCATGATTGTTGCTGATCTCCCATCCTGGGGCAGTTTCACAGAAGTGTTTCACATCCACACTTTAAACACCAAATGCCATTATATTTTATGCTACTTTGTCTTCGGGCCAGGGGTTTGATCCCTGGGCCTGCCATGCTGGCCTCACTCCTGGGGGCTCTGAGACAGCAGTTGAGACTGGGTGCAGTGGCGGGTACCTGCAATCCCAGCTCTTGGCAGGCTGTAAACGGGCAGATCACCATGAGTCCTATCTAGTAGTGAGCCCCTGAACACTCTGTAGGCCCTTCCCTAAAATTCAAAAAAGAGGAGATCTAAATACAAAGACTAAAACTCTAATAGTTGCAAAAGATAATATAGGGGCAAATCTTCATGAGTTGGATTTGCTAAAGGATTCTTATATACAAGACCCTAAGAATAAACGCAAAAGAAAAAAATTCACAAATTGGATTTTATCAAGACAAAAAAACCCTTTTATTTTTCAGACAACAGTATCAAAAAAGTGAAGAGACAAGTGGCCAAATAAGAGAAAATATTTGCAAATTGTAATTTCATAAAGGAGTTGTAGCAAAATCTATGATTAGGGGCTGGGGAGAAGGCTCAGTGGAATAAGTGCCTCCCTGGCAAAGGGCCTGAGTTCAATCCCTGGCTCCACCAAAGGAAAAAGGAAAAAAAGAAAAAAAAAAAAAAAAAAAAAAAAAAAAAAAAACCTAAATAAATAAAGAGAAACTAGATTATGAAAAAAAATTTAAAAGAATAAAATCTATGATTATTTCTTAAAACCCAATGATAAAGTGACAATCCAATTTTAAAGGGAGAAAAAAAATTACTGGATTAGCAGTTTTTCAAATGGCCCATAAACACATGAAAAGATGCTTGACGTTATTAGACATCAAGGAAACAAAAACCAAAACCATAATGAGGTATTACTTTATACCCAATGAGCTAGTTAGAATCTAAAACTAACAGTAACACTTTGGTGAGGATGTGAAGGAATCGGAGTCCTCTTACATTACTTTTGGGAGTGTAAATGATGGGTCCACTTCACAAAACATTCTGGCGGTTGCTCAAAGATTAGAGTTATCATATGATTCAGCAGTTCCTGTCCTTGATATAAATTCAAGAGATGGAACATGTATGTCTACACAGAAGCTTGTACAAAGATATAACAAGACTATTTGTAATAACACAGAGGTGGAAATAACACAATTGTACACCAGGAGATGGATAAACAAAATGTGCCTTTAGGATCTTATTTGGCTGTAAAAGGGTGCTTCACTGCTATGTGCTACAATGTGGGCAGACCTTCAAAGTGGAATGCGAAGTGGAGAAAGCTACTTACAAAATACTACTTACATGTAGGAAAGTCCAGAGCAGGGTAGTCCAGAGGCTGAAGGGAGGTTAGCTGTCACTGAAAGCTGGGAGATGGGGACAAGAGTGTAGAAGCTAAAGAGGACGATGTTACCTTCTGACATGGTGACAAGGTTCTCAGACTGACTGAAGTGATAATTACGTACTTTTGTATGAAGGTGACTGTCCTAAAAAACAAGGAACTTTATTCTCACTCTTCGTGGTGAGAATTTATCTCTGCAAAGCAGTTACAAAAAGAAAAACAGGTGTTGGCTCCACTGTTCCTAATTTTCTCCTTATTTGTGTTCTATTAGTTTAAAACTTTTGATTTCTGTGGTTTGGGCTTTTATTTTTATTTTTTAAATGAGATTATTAGTCCTTCTGAATGGTATAAAGCAAAAGAGAATATTGGAAATGGATAGTTAGCATATTTCTTTACTGAGAAAATCTTGGGTTTTCTCAAAGGACTGTTTTAATGACATTTGTTTTCCATCCTGGAGCATTTCTGAGAAATATTTTAATCTTAGGAATTTATAGAAATGGAGTTTCAGTAAGAAACTGCCTTCCTGGCAGCTGCATTGGGCTCCACTTCCGGTTCTGGAAGGGTTTCCTTCACAAAATGGCAAATGCCACGGGAAAAGTGCTGCTGGGAGGTCAGCCCACTACTTTCTGCCTCTCCTCTCTCCAGACCTTGTGTGCTCTGGAATCTGAGTAGCTCTGAGCTCCAACTTTTTCTCCCTAACTCATTAGGTGCATATGCTCTGCTGAGCTTTGCTACCTTCAGTATATATTTACAGGATTTTGGAGGATGGATATATATTATATACTCTTTTAGGTTACTTTTATCAGTTAATGCAAGTGGATTTTTTAAAGTTCTTAAAT